ATTGTCTCGTTAAACATGATACTCTTTGTAGAGCTTCATTGCATTATGTACCTCTCTTTTTCTCGTAAGTGCATCCGTGTGGTTTCTCTGTTTTCTCGTAAGTTGGATGCATATAAGTAACCAATTGGCTAGTTTGTTGTAATAGTTGCACAGGAACGCAAACGTAGTTGGATGACACATATACAATCTCAGTTGGCTAGCCAACTATTGAAGTTGCACAATGAGGCCTAACCAGTTGCACAATCAATGGTATTCAGATGGATACACTATGTAAATCATGTTCATGCAGTGTGTGTGTGTGTGGTATTTTTGATTACACACTCATGTGTGCCCTGTTGTCAAGGGTATGCGTTTGTACAGGAGTTTGCAAATCAGAACAGTACATATCCTAGTTGGCTTAGCCACACTTACGCAGTTGCACAGGTAAGGGATATCTAGTTGCATGGTTGACAGCTAGTTTAGTTTTGGCTCCAGTGCCTAAATCATGTTAGTGTATGCTGATTTTTTTATTGCACACTCATGTGTGCCCAGTTGGCCATACAGTGCATCAAGTTGCACACATTCTTTTTTTTGTTTTATATGTGTGCTTTGAAAAGTTATCTTGAGTTGCTTACCTCATGGCATTTTTTATATAAATTGTTTTTCCTCATTTTTCTTCTATGCATTGGGTTGCTTTGACTAATTTTTTTGTTTGCTTTTTTCACAGACCAAAAATGGTTGTAGAAGGAGATGCAGCTCCTACAAGGAGAGGTATCCTCAACTTGCATAGATGCATCCTGAACTTTTAGTTGCACAACAATCAATTAGGACTGGGTATCCTCAACTTTTTAAATAGTTGCACAACAATATCATACGAGTTGGCATCCTCAACTTTCATAGTTGCACTAGAACCATTTGGGAGTCGGCAGCCTCGAGTTTTCAAATAGTCCCACAACAATATTACATGAGTTGGCATCCTCAACTATTTTAGTTGCACAAGAACCAATCAGGAGTTGGCATTCCCAACTTTTTTTATAGTCCCACGACAATGTCACATGAGTTGGCATCCTCAACTATTTTAGTTGCACAAGAACAATTAAGGAGAATTCCCAACTTTTTTTTAATAATTGCACAACAATGTCACATGAGTTGGCATTCAACTCCTTTAGTTGCACAAGAACTATTCATTAGTTGGCATCCTCATGTGTTTACATGCATCTAATTTTTTAGTTTTGGCTTCTTTTTTGCATCATGTGCAGGTTATGGGGGTGGGGGAGCTGCTGTAAATTTTTGCCCATATAATTGCACAGTTTTTGCATTTTGTTGCACACAATGCTTCAAATGTTGGCTTGTCCCATGATGTAGTTGCAAAAAAATCAGTTAAAATTGCACAGGTATAAGAGCTCCCCTTTTTTATCTCTGTTTATGCTCTCTTCAACAATGGAGAAGCTATTTTTGTAAAGAGAAATTTGGTGAGGGGGAAGTCAAGGAGGGGGTCTGAACAGGAGGAGAAAATGATGACCTCTTCTTTCACCCTTGTTGGTGCTACCCGGTACATTCTGATCTGTCCTCACTCTTTTCCCTTTTTTTCATGGCAAATTGTTCCAGATCTGTTGTTAGTTCACTTTGATTCATCTACCATGGCAGCTTTGGCGATGGAGATCTAGACCAAGGAAATCATTTGTTTTCTAGAAAAAAAGAAGGTGGGAACAGGTAAGGGCGTGGGGAAGAAAAAGTTGGTGGCCAGTGGGCATAAGAGCTTCGAGAGAGGAGGGAAGGGCACATGATTGGGGCGCCACTAGCATAGAAAAACAGCCACGGGTAGAAAAATAGAAAAAAACTATCTGAGCCATCAGTTTCAGGATGAGTGGTCCAGATTGTAGTGGATGGAAGTGACAGCACACGTGCTAGCTTCTTTGCACAAAAGCCCCCCACTTGTACTCATTTTTCTTTCATAATCTGCTTCTTCCTTCGTCCGATAGCAGCAGCACAGCCCAAAATTCCTCAATCTAGCTTGACTGCCGGCCACCTCCTGGATCAATCCTCTCGCTCATCGTCCTCCAGCTTGCCGACCGTGGCGGAGGTCCAGATCCGGTGCCCACCTGGGAAAGTACGGCCAGTAGAGGTGCTGTTCCAGCTCCTGGTCGTCTCGTCGCCGCCGGTGCTACTCCGGCGGATCTCGCCCTGTTCCAAGCCACGACCTTGTGCGAACAAGCACTTCAGGATACTCTGCTCCGGCGGTTAGAGGTCGACCTCGCCCCGTACTTCTTCCTACCCCAACCCGCCATTCTCCACACGTTGCGCCCTACTCCTGTGCGGCTAGCTCGGCCACCCACCGACGCCAGAGAAGAAATCTTGGGTCTTAAGGTATGGTATCTGCTGAAGCTGCTACCAATTTCAGATTTAATTCTAGAGCATTTTACTTAGAAAGTACTCCTTCGTTCAGATTTGACTACGGCTATCCATATCATGTGCATAATATTTTCATTTATAGTTAATTAGTTACTTGAGATCTTCCAGTGAAAAAAAGAACTTTCACTTTAAATTTGTGCTAGGAGCATCTGTTGGATTGCTGTTGAACACTGTATAATTTTGTTTTCACCAAGGTATCCTCTGGGAGGAGATTTAGAAAGATTTAGAATTCTGGATCTTTGGAAATGATATGAATGGCTACATTTAAAATTTTAAACATATGGACACATAGTGTAGATGATACAATTTGATAGTGAGTAGCAGTAGCTTGGAAGCTTAAAACGGTTTTTGAGCAAAGGCTATATTAAGCAAGAAATGCATGAACAATACAATAGCTAACCTGCTAGTGTCACACTATGTTATACATAGATAGAGAGAGCTAAAGGAAATCACCCAGGACAGAAAATCCATTAATGCAACATAATAGCTATATTGCCAGCATATATGCTTACAACTTTTCGATCAAGCTAAAAATAAATCTCAGTTTAGTATGTACTCACACTTTTTTGAGTCAATTTCAGTTAGTTGGGAGAGACCTTTATTCAGTGTTGATTTTCCATAACAAGAAACAGAAATTCTGTCAACTAATCTCACATACTACCTGTTGAAGTATCTGAATGTGAAGTGCTTGCTGGAACAAGACTGGAATGTATTACACACTTGCAAATATGTGGCACTTCATTGATTTATGGGAGTTCACTATCTATTTGGATTTTGACGTAGAACACAATTTCTGCTCTCGGTATGATGGACAGATCGGAGCTTGTCGACTAGTGCTAGGCTCGGCCTCCGTTGTTCTGCTGTTGCATCTCAATCTGAAATGCAGGGAAGTAGTATTTTACATATGTCATGGCCTACTGGAGTGTCCGAACAATAGCTGTTGAGCTCTTTTCAGCAAAAAAAAAAAGGTTTGTGTTCGTCTGTTTCTTAGGTCAGTTGTGGCAAATGGCGTACAAAGCTGGCATAATGATTTCCTTTCTTCTCAATATATGATGTTTGATATATGTTTCTAACAGACACATATTTATTTGGTGTGCTTAACTAGATGGATTGAACTGATGAAGTTTATATAGAGTCGCCTTGAGAAAAAAAAGTTTATATAGAGTCCATGGAGGTTGTCATCTATTCCAGCAGATGAAGGTCGATTAGCAAGTCACTGCAAAAGGAAGGCAAGATCATAGATCTTTTCTGTCATCCATCAATCCTTAATACTTGGTTTTCCTGGAAATGTAGTAAAAACGATCTATGTATGCCTCTTGTGTTGTGTTCTCATGTACTTGAATACTCAAATGCTTGTTGAGATATAATGTACCATCAGTCCTTAATACGCGGTCTACCTGGGAATGTACTACAAAAGATCTGTGTATGCCTTTTGTGTTGTGTTCTCATGTACTATACTCTGTTGAGCGGGCACTTCGGTCCTTTATTTTCTCATGCATTCAGGTTAACATGTACGCATGTAGTTCCGCTTGATATGGGATGGTTTAATTTTCTCATGCGCTCAAATATTTTTGATATATGTTGGTTTTTTTGTAACCAACATGTTCAACTCTCTTGAAAAACTAGGACTTAAATGTGCATGGATCTCATGCAGCAAATATTTGCAAAGATTTTATATCCAACTAAGAGGAGAGGGTAATCACCACTGTGCATATCTGAAAATAAACTAATTTTACAAAGACCTGAGATTGTACTGCAAAAGAGCAGTCATCAACGCTGCCAGCTTTGAAGAATAGTCGTATTACCAAGGACAAAACGATTGGATATGAGGAAGTCGAGGTGGTTATTGCAAAAGTCAAGTTTTATATCTAACGAGTATCAGGGGGGTTTTCGTGAAATGTACATTAAGTGGCCTGAGGTGCTCCACTAGAATCAGAGCCATACATACCTGATCTGATGGCCCATATTCATTTTTCTATTTTTGTACTACATGTCCAGATTCTATCCTAGTTGCTTTCACATGATTACCTGGGTACCACGTTGGGCGCGTGATTTGTTGGCTTGGCGCGCATGTGTTGCTACTGAGGGAGAGATTTTCTTTTATGGGATCGAGGGGACCGATTCTTTCCTTTCCTGATGGCTGCTCGGGAGTGCTAGCGGGCCAACGGCCGCCCGATAGACACGTCCTAAAAAAACCGTGAACAAGCAAATGCACACAGCCCGCCGTCCTAAACTGTCACAGAAGATCCTGCGCCCCAAGTAAAAATGAAAATACAAATTGAAAAGGAAAAATAAATCCCAATCCCTCTCCCTGGAAACCATAAAAAATAAGATTCCACCGAAAAGGAAATCCAAATGAAAGCAAGCCGCCCCTCGTCTCCTCTCTCTCTCTCTCTTACCTAAGCCTCCGTCTGTAAATAGCAACACCCACCCATCCACCACCCCGCTCGCCCCCTCTTCCTCTACTCCAAACCAAGCCTCCTCTCCCTCCCCCATTATTCCCGGGCCTCGTCGCTCCCCGCTCCGCCTACCAATTTACCCGCGCCTCGCTTAAATCCGCCAAAGCGCACCCAGCGGGGCCCCAAACCCTAGCCCGGGCCGCGCCGCGCATGGGCAAGTACATGCGCAAGCCCAAGGTCTCCGGCGAGGTGGCCGTCATGGAGGTCGCCGCCGCGCCGCTGGGGGTCCGCACCCGCGCGCGGGCGCTCGCGATGCAGAGGCAGCCGCAGGGGGCGCCGGGGGCCAAGGACCAGGGGGAGTACCTGGAGCTCAGGAGCCGGAAGCTCGAGAAGCTGCCCCCGCCGCCGCCGCCGGCGAGGAGGAGGGCGGCCGCGGCGGAGCGTGTCGAGGCCGAGGCCGAGGCCGACGAGGTGTCCTTCGGGGAGAACGTGCTCGAGCCGGAGGCCATGGGGAGGTGAGCCTTCTCCTGCGCCCGCGATTTTCTTCGGTTCATGGGGTTTTATTTCTCGGCGGGGGGATTATAACCGTGCCAGGGTTTAGGGTTTTGTGTCGTACCGAGAAGCTTTGGATTGCTTCTTCTGTTTCGCGCTTCGGCTCGTTCCATTTTTCCTTGTCAATTTGGCTTGTTCTATCCGTGCTGCGTGCGGGGCTCGAATTTGGTGTCGATGCTATTTTCCCCAATATCTTTCTTATTAAGCTTTGCTGTTTATTGGGGATTTTTTCTGTCCCAACTCTTCTTTCGCGAGTTGACCGATGCAATAGTTCTCTGTTGTTGCTTAAATTTCGGTGTGCTTCTCCTTCTTTCTTTTCTTTAGTGTGAGTGTTGAATCTTTTTTGCTCTGTTAATTTCCTGGCCCTCTCCGGTGCTAGTAATGGGTTTAGCTATTCCAAAAATTTATTCCAAGAACCACTTCTCAGTAACCTATTTTGAAGAAATTAGTGCCAAGCAGCAGCGAAATGCTTGCCTGGTGGCCAATTTATATCAAGAAACCCCCAATTTCTTTCTATGTTTCGATTTTGTTCAAGTGAAGTTGTTGCACCCCAAAGCTCAATTACAATACTAGTGCTGTATTTGGCCTCCTCTTAGTGGGGTTTCATCCAGTAGCCTTGGCCCCCTTTTCGTTAGTGGGATGGAAAAATCATCCTCCTTTCCCTCCCGTTCTTTCCACCATTTCCCCCTGGCCTCTCCCCTGTTTTTCTTTGCTTGTTGTAATGGAGGTGGTAGGGACCTCCCAATCTTTTAGTCTTTTAGCAACCAAAAGCCCTCGCCTTTTGCAAGAAATTTCTCTCATATATCCCCACAAAAGCACCCACCCTTCTCAGACCTCATTTCTTGATGGGTTCTCTACTACTACTAGCCTGTCACTTCTTTGGGTTCTGGAAGGTGGGAAAAATGTCATGTCGCGGTAAAACCTCTTCCTGGGCTATGAAGGAGGGGTCGTCCCATCCCCCTGTACCAGAGATTCGTGTGCAGTTTTTGGTGCACAAGCTAGGGAAAGCAAGAACGCTTTAGGCTAAGCTAGACTATAGCTTCTGCAGTTTTTGGCCAGAAACATTTTAGTATTTGTCAGGAGCTAACAAATGTTTTGATTGTATTATCTTGTAAGCAGTAGGTACGCATCTTCGCCTGCCTAAGCTGGTCAAAATCCGCATTTAGCCTGCATGTTTATGCTATGATAGCGCCATTTTTCTTGCTACTTGCATTGCACCATCAGCCAAAGTACCACGTTGTGGGGGCACTTGTTTGTAAGGGACAATGGGTGCAGGTAAGAGAGAGAGAGGGGGGAGATAAACAATACTTGACAGGCAGTAGGCTGTGCCATTTTCGTTGCCATCTTTGGTGCACCATCAGGTATGCCACAGCTTGAAGGTGTCTTGGTGGTGGTGGGGATGGCATGCACCAACTGGGAGCTGTTTGCATCTCTAGCCATGGCCTGATGGTACTACTGCATCAGTGGATCATGGTCCTGAACAGTGGTGGGTCTGCATTCCTGGGCTCCCCATGCACGTCCTAAACAGTACTTGGAGGGTGGATGTGCGTGATCTGAACAGCGCGTGTCTAAAAATCATCCATGGCCCTCCCAAGCATAATAGCCAGGTGCAAGTCAGTGTGTGTTGTTGGGCCACTGTTGGTGGCCGGCCTAACTTTGGCAGCAGCTTCGGATGCTGGGGCTGGAGTTATTGGCTGGGTGGGGGAGAACCTGGCCTACTCATGTGACACTGAGAGTTTGGGGGTTACCTAGCCCCAACCATTTTTTTGTTTCCCATGGGCCTTGTGTTTTGGTTGTGTTCTAGCCTTTATATGGCATATGAGATAGATTGAAGGGCTGTTTGGTTAGGCAACTTGTGGCCCCAATTTGTTTGAACTAACCTTAGGCAAGTTCGGTAAGAAATGTGTAGCAAATTGTGGCATTGCTAGGCCTAGTTAGAACCAAACAACCCCGGATACTCATAAGGGGGGGATTCCTTATTTTTTTATGACCACGGATGATATCGATATGTTTTCTTCTTTTTGCATACCCTGTTAAGTTACAGGTGATTTTTTCCCTTTTGCTACGCGTCCTCGCTATGGTTGTTTCTAAAAATTGAGTGTGTATGTATGTTTTGTGGCTAGCAGGGGTACCAGGGAGACGACGCCCTGCAGCTTGATTAGGGACTCGGGAATGATAAGCACTCCTGGATCCACAACAAGACCGAGCCACTCGAATTCCCATCGCAGGGTGCAAGCTCCAGCGCGCCATATTATTCCAAGTTCAGCAGAGATGAATGAGTTCTTCTCTGCTGCAGAGCAACCGCAACAGCAAGCCTTCATCGACAAGTACGACATTGTTTGGTTCTCTCAGTCAGTTAACCTTGTCTAATTAAAAAAAATCTTTCAATATCTTTGCAGTGAAGAATGCCAACTCAGCGTGCAATGTGGTTTTGACACGTGATATGTTCATGCCTTTGCTCTTGATAAAAAGTGTGATTATAACACTAACAACATGGTTTCATGGCTTAATAATCTTCAGGTACAACTTTGATCCTGTGAACGACTGTCCTCTCCCAGGCCGATACGAGTGGGTGAAGCTAGACTGATAATTCTCCAGGAAGGAGAGCACCATGTATCTCTCTGCTCCCTCCACCTTAGCGTCGTGGTAGAGGCGCGCACCGTCGTGTTAGCTTTGTTTCCGTTGTAAAAAGAATTAGGGTTAGCCTGTAGTAGCCTCAATGGTTGTGTAACATACAGAAGTAATGCTGAGTTACACCCTAATCCCTCAAACTCCAATGTGACCGTTAGCAACTCATTCTGTAATGACCACCTCTAGGGCCTGATCTTATCATCTGTTGCCAGTTGCCAGACTAATGTAGTAGAGCTAGCTAGATATTGTATCACAGCTTAACTTCTTGTAATGTGGGCTGGGCTGCAGTGCCATCTGCATTCCAGTGTTGTACTGCATTGCACCTGAAGTGCTGTAACTTCTGTCTATACCCTCTGGTTCATGGTATGTGAAAAGTCTGGTGACAATGCTTGAAACCTGTGGCCTATTCATGTGCCCTTGATATGCAGTGGCATCTTGCGCAGTCAAGGACGCCACTGCCTGTGTGTCATTATTGCTTCTATGCTTTGTAGTATTTGCTATGCTCCATTGCTCATGCTCTCAACTTTCAGCTACTGCTACTGCTGCTGCAATACATCGAGCCTGGATTCTACTTGGAGTTCTCCAATGCTTGCCAACTTTTTGTGCATTGTGATGTGTGATACAATGTGTTTTAGGGACAGGGATTCGGTGACTTCACTGAGCAAAGTCTCATCGTGACTTTACCTAGGTGAGGGCCATCGGATCAAGATCTAATGGACAAGATTGGTCTAAATTTTATGCTCAAAATTCAAACTGTTTAGAAAAAATTCAGCTAAGTCATATATGTTCCATTGAATATTCTGGGAAATTTTCGTTCCATTTGGATAAATGGTTTAGCAGCTAATTGTGTTTTGAGCTTGAAATATAAAACCCTATTTAATCATAGACCGTTTATCCAAATGAAACAAAAATTTCACAGAATATGGAATGGAACATGTATGACTTAACTGAATTTTTTCAAATTTTTCTGGGCAGTTTTAGTTTTGAGTACAAAATTTGAATCAATCTTGACCGCTGGATCTTGATCCGATGGCACTCACCTAGGTAAAGTCACGATGAGACTTTGCTTAGTGAAGTCACCGGATCCCTGTCCGTGTTTTAGTGGGCGACCCTTTCACTGTGCGAGCTGCCAGTGCTTTTTGACTGGGATGGGTCATTTGGGATAGTTGCACTTGCACTGGCCGCTTTCTTTTTTTCCTACTCCGCTGTTAAACTGGTAGTAGTAGTGGTTTTGACAGTGTCCATCTTTTCACCCCCTTTTGTTGTCTGGTCTCCGGGGGCCTTTCTGCTTTCCACCTGCCATCCTGGGCTGATGAATGACAGTACTTTTCATATTGAAAAAGGGTAAATATGTTGACTTAACCTTTGGAGTGCAACCTAACAAGTGCTTAGTTAATTTTGTCTAGTTGTTTTTTACTCCTCTCAGATTTTGGCCGGTGCATCCAGTGCATCTGTATTCTACTAGTATATAGTTTAGTCTTTAGAGACTGCATATGTTTCCTAAGACTGACAGCATCCAAGGCCATACAGCATGTGCGATTCTGAAGAACTGTTGATTTAGTGTCCATCCATCCATCTTGCTGTGCTCTGCTAATCTAAAGGCACCCATCTGATTATATGTTCTCCGGAACAACATAGCTCTCATTTTATATAAGCCGGTCTATCAGGTACCTGCCAGAGCGAATTCTGAATTAATAGAATATAATCCTTTTGCGATTAGCTTACATTGAGACGTTACTGTCATTTGATATTCTCAAATGTTTTAGTAAATCTGGTGGTGAGACGGTTCACCCCCCATGAAACTGTATACTTCTGAAATTTCGAAATTCAAACAAGGTTATGTCCCGTATGTGCGGCTAATCATCGATATAAATGTCAGTAAATTCCTTGGCAGTTCTTGTGAGGTAAAAGTAGTACTCCATAAAATCTATTGTTACGCATTAGCTGGGAACATGATGCATTGTAGTATTACGTTAAATAATAATGATGAACACGTAATGCTATCAACAGTACATAGTTCTTATGATGGATGGATGCCTATGGTGTTGCCTGTTGCCAATCTCAATGCCTGGCACAAATATGAAAATATAAATCCAAATCTCAAGTTCCTAGCATGATTGCTGATGCAGCTCTTCCAATGTTGATATGCATGTCGCTGGAATGCTTGTCGTGATGACAAAATTGGAGGCAGCATCCTTTTGGTGCATCAGGAAGTGCAAAAGACAAGGAGAGCTAAAAGTGTAGGTAAGAGTTGGAACTTGCCTATCATGCTCATGTGTGATCTTAAAAGTCTCAACATGTACTCGCTTTATAAATCAATCCATCACCATGTCCATACAACAAGTTCAAGTGCACAGAAATAAAATAGTGATGTGCCATCAGCACAAACACACCCAAAGAAAGCATAAGAAGAAGTATAAAAAAGACCACCAAGTGGCCGCAGACTCAAGGGGCCTACTGCGAGGATAGTCGGCGAGCGGTAGCATGTAACGCATCTATCATAAGTCCCAAACGCTCGCGATTGCGCTGCCTAGACAACGGGGTGAATACAAGGAATTTGAAGAACGAATCAAAGGACCGTCTAAGAAAGACCCCTCAATCATGGTCTTATTACGTGCCGTCACAACTTCCAAACTAATGACGTAAACACAAGCCCGAAAGGCGCCTCTTCCTACCGGTCTGGTTGGCTATGGTTTAAAGGAACCCAACGAGGTTCAGGTCCTCCCAATCAGACCCAAGAGCCTCACAGACAAAACTCCAGAGAACTCTTGCCACCATGCTATTGGAAATATGAGCAAATTACTACGAAATTTAATCCGAATAAATAGAAAATAGATCATGACAGCAATAGCAGAGATTAAACTAACCGTGCGAACTAGCATAATAGATGAATATATCACATCTAGGGCACATACTATGTAACGCCCACGATGCGGCTATATCTCCCACGTGTCGAAGCACGACTTAGAGGCATAACCGCATTGTAAGCAATGTCGCAAGAGGGGTAATCTTCACACATCCCATGTACTGAATAAGGAAAGAGATACATAGTTGACTTACAATTGCCACTTCACACAATACATGAATAAAGCATTACAACAATCAGATACAATCAAGGTCCGACTACGGAACCAAAATAAAAGAAGACTACCCCAAATGCTACAGATCCCCGATCGTCCCAACTGGGCTCCACTACTAATCAACTGCAACAAAACAACACAACGAACAAGGTCTTCATCGAGCTCCTCCTTTAGCTTGGTCGCGTCACCTGCACGATATCATCGGCACCTGCAAGCTGGTTTTGGAAGTATCTGTGAGTCACGGGGACTCAGCAATCTCACACCCTCGCGATCAAGACTATTTAAGCTTATAGGTAGGGTAAAAGGTATGAGGTGGAGCTGCAGCAAGCACTAGCATATATGGTGGCTAACATACGCAAATGAGAGCGAGAAGAGAAGGCAAAGCACATTCGAGAATCTATGATCAAGAAGTGATCCTGAAACTACTTACGTCAAGCATAACTCCAACACCGTGTTCACCTCCCAGACTCCGCCGAGAAGAGACCATCACGGCTACACACGCGGTTGATGCATTTTAATTAAGTTAAGTTTCAGGTTTTCTACAACCGGACATTAACAAATTTCCATCTGCTCATAACCGTGGGCACGACTTTCGAAAGTTCAAAACCCTGCAGGGGTGTCCCAACTTAGCCCATCACAAGCTCTCACGGTCAACGAAGGATATTCCTTCTCCCAGGAAGACCCGATTAGACTCGGAATCCCGGTTACAAGACATTTCAACAATGGTAAAACAAGACCAGCAAAGCCACCCAGATGTGCCGACAAATCCTGATAGGAGCTGCACATATCTCGTTCTCAGGGCACACTGGATGAGCGCTCCGTACAGCTAAAACCAAACCTCGAGTTTCCCCGAGGGGGCACTGCAAAGGACTCTAGTTTGGACCAACACTCAGAGGAGCACTGGCCCCGGGGGGGGGGGGGTAAATAAAGATGACCCTTGAGTCTGCAGAACCCAAGGGAAAGAAAAGGCTAGGTGGCAAATGGTAAAACCAATGTTGGGCCTTGCTGGAGGAGTTTTATTCAAGGCGAACTGTCAAGGGGTTCCCATCATAACCCAACCGCGTAAGGAACGCAAAATCAAGGAACATAACACTGGTATGACGAAAACTAGGGCGGCAAGAGTGGAACAAAACACCAGGCATAAGGCCGAGCCTTCCACCCTTTACCAAGCATATAGATGCATTAATTAAATAAGAGATATTGTGATATCCCAACAAGGAACAAACTCCAATCTTCACCTGCAACTAGCAACACTATAAGAGGGGCTAAGCAAAGCGGTAATATAGCCAAACAACGGTTTGCTAGGACGAGGTGGGTTAGAGACTTGACATGGCAATATGGGAGGCATGATAAGCAAGTGGTAGGTATCGTAGCATAGGCATAGCAAAAGAGCGAGCAACTAGCAAGCAAAGATAGAAGTGATTTCGAGGGTATGGTCATCTTGCCTGAGATCCCGCAAGGAAGAAGAACGAGTCCAAGAAGAAGACAAACGGACGTAGTCGAACGGATCCTCACAAACGCGACGTTATAGAAACTAACCAAAGAAGCAACACCGGAAAGAAAGCAAACAACATGGTAAACAAACATCACATAACATGGCATGATGCACAACCAAGTATGATGCATGTCCGGTTTAAATATGCATGACATGGCAATATGCAACAACCAAAACTACAAATTAAGTGGAGCTCAATATGCAACGGGTTGCCTATTGACGAAACACCACATCAATTATTTAGTTCTCTCTCGTTTAGGTACTCAACAATATTAAATGTCGTTAAACATGGCAAGAGGAGAAGCATAAGAAATTATACCATCTAAACAATTTAAATGGGGCCGGATATAACAAATAACGAATCCGGTAAATCCCCATATG